GGGGGGGGGGGGGCTTGTCCCCCTCCCCACAATTTATAGGTTAGAAGAGGTCTCGTCGTTGTGACTCATGGATAAGCAAGAAAACACAAGATTATTTTGTCCCACTCTACGTCAGAGCAGGACTTGACTTAGTCTTGCCCATATCGTTACATGTCTCACCATATAAATATTTTATTGCTTGCCTTCTGTATAAAAGTAATGAATTTATAATTCTGTATGAAAGTAACGAATTTATTGTTCCATTTAAATTATTAATCTCCCTCGCACCCTGGAAAGAGACTTTAAAATGTAAACTTCATTTGAAAGTATAAAATATTAACGTATTTAATACGTCTCATTATAAATGTTACTAAAATCCGTTTAGCTAAATCAATACTAAACCAGAAAAAAAAACAATTTGGGGTAGATAAAACAAAACATAAAGTCTGTATTCATTGATTAATGAAACAGTTTTCAACTGAACAAAACAATGATGTAAACAACCCCACGATAGTTAAAGACAAAATACAATACAATGGAAAGACCGAAGAAATTCATATTTTTAAACGTTTCGACTACTGTTGAGTCATCATCAGGAATTATGAAAGCTAGATCCTATCTATCTATGATCCTATCTATCAACAAGTCCTAATTAAAAATAACAAGTTCTTTTTACGCTTTAGTCCAATGGTTTAGTTCAGGTTTCTGTCTGTGGATATGTAAAGCTTCTTTATATAGTAGAAGCGACCAGTTCATAGTTCTCAATAATTTTAGTTCAAGACATTATTTTATTTACTAGGTTCGTGTTCTGCCTCAAGCAAACTCTCGGGATGTTCGTTCGACTCGGACTCGTGTGATTTTGTGGACGTTCCATTTGATGATGATCACGATTTTGTTTTGAAATCAAGTGGTGGACAAGATGGCAACGGTATGACATAACGGTTGTTGTAAAACAACTAGTGCTTAAACCATAGCCTATCGAAGGGAAGATGGCTACTCATTATCTATGTTAGTCAACGTTTATTCATAAATATGGTCCTTCACCGTCACGTGTATATTGTATTTTTGCCAAATCTACCAATAGCAATTTCCAATTTACCATATTGTTCGAGTCACGGATAGGTAACCTCTCTAAAACATTGCTATTGGTTAGTTTTGTATATATGTTTGTATTACATGCGAAAATTGTTACCACTTTCGGCTCAAAAAAATGGTAACAATTTCTGCACGTAATACAAACATATTGACAAAATATGCAAACTTCGCAAGGTTATATTTTCCATATTTTACAACATTTCACAACCAAATTTTGGTCTAACATGCAAGTTGCCTATATACAGTATAGCCATTCCTCTTGTATCAAGCTACTTCTTCTCCTGAAACTACTGTAGGTTATATGTCATCGTCGGGAAGAGGAAATGCTGATCTCATTGTGCCACTGGAGCTACTTGTTCCTCATAATGGCGATCTTGGAAATATGTGCATGGAATTCTATTACAGAATACGAGGGTAAGCTTGTTTCATTTTGTGGAATTATTTGGTTAGGTTTTCTAGAACTGTTTGTCTAACTTAGAATAGAATGATAGTGGAATAGGATGGAACGGAATGGAATTTAATTAGCCTTTCTCACGAAGGCCAAAATCCGCCATTTTTGGAGTACTGTCTGCCCTTGTGAAAGATTCTAGACAATTCAAACAACGTGAAAAGCGACTTTTGAAAGTTGTAACTGTAAATTTATCATTATACAAACAACTACAATACTAAAAAGTTGTTTTTCGTGGTGCGGAGACTCTCGAACGTGGAAGAGGCAGTTCCCCGAAAGGCTAATTGAACAGAATGAAATTGAATGGTATAGAATAGAAAATATTATGTAGGTAGCTTGTGGTGATATGATTTTGGTGTAGATGCGATCAAGTTTAGAATAGATTCGAACAGGATTGGATGGAATAGAATGTTTTTGGAGGAGATCGAAATAAAATGGAATGTTTAACAATATTTAAATGGAATATCGACTTTCTAGTGGATCGCTGAATGTTTACCAAGTGACAAATGCAAAGGGTTATCGAAAAGAAAGCAAGCTCAGATTGTCTGACTCCCAGGGCTCGTGGAAGAAGGCGAGGATGACTTTCCGAGCGTCACAGAAGTATCACGTTAGTAAAACACAATCTTTTCCGGTTTACTCTATAAACGTCAGTTTTCACAGTGTAATGATCACACGGTTATGATTAAAGTAATAATTAAGGTAATAATTAAGGTTATGATGATTAAGGTAATGATTAAGGTAATAATTTAAGTAACAATTAAGGTAATAATTAAGGTAATAATTAAAGTATTAATTAAGGTAATAATTAAAGTAATAATTAAGGTAATAATTATTAAAGTAATAATTAAGGTAATAATTAAAGTAATGATTAAGGAATTAATAAAGGTAATAATTTTGGTAATAATTAAGGTAATAATTAAAGTAATAATTAAGGTAATAATTAAGGTAATAATTAAAGTAATAATTAAGGTAATAATGATCAAAGTAACAATTAAGGTTTTGATTAATTTAATGCAATAATTAAGGTATTCAAATGATTAAGATGATATATAATAAAATGATTAAGGTAATGATTAAATTAATGATATGGTAAGGCAGGTTAATAATTTGCTGTTTTTTAAAATTAACCAACTTCAAGGAAGTATAGGGATTTTGATTACAGTCTAAAGATTTGATGGTCACAATGTTGTTGAAACATGAGTAAACAATAAAAAATGTATTGTTCTTTCAGCTCTTGCTTCGTGCAACTCCCAGCTCAGGATCTGTCGACATTGACAATGTTCGATTTTGCGATACATGCAATTAAAAGGTATAGTGCAATCTGTTGAACGACTTGCATGTTATAAATTCTCTGAATATTTAAAACAGTCGAGTATGCTACCGTTTGCAATCCACTTTGAACTATATGAAATATGTGAGATCTCTATAGATGAGCAATGATGCTCTTAGAACAAACGCAAATTATGTTTATTAAATGTGATGTAAAGTCCGTAATGTAAACAAACGCTTTGTTTACATTTTGAACTCAGTGCTACAGTTGTAAAATATGATTAGATATATATTATACTGAATTTTTGACACTCTTCTGGTTCGCTATGCTTGTAAATGAATGCAGACTAGA